AGAATAAAAGGGGAAAAATTCCTGTGAATAAGAGTAACAAATAAATGGTGTCTCCTGTTTTCCAAAGCCACTACAGTCACTCTGCCTGTGCATAGGAAGGTAAGCTCCCTGCCTTGGTTGCCCCGCAGCCCATGAGATGCAGAAGACATTGAGGTCGCGACAGTAACAAGTACCATTAAAACTAAGGTCACATTTAAGCCAATTAAGTGTTGTCACTGATCACAAAATCCTAATAAATTAGGAATTAATTAGCCAGCCTCTCCCAAAAGCAACAGAGTTCCATGCTCAGCTGTCTAGAATGCAGTGCCGAGCCGTGTGCGACCATAACCAGGAGTGTGTCAGAGCCACTGGAGCACACAGCTTTGCAAACGTCCCCGAAGCAGAGGCTCGTTAGTTGGGAAACATTCTTTCCCAAGTGGCAGGCACAATCTAATTTATCATCTCCCAGTAATTGCTGTCTCCAAGTGTTTTATTCCACACAGGCAAGCAGAAGGAAGCTTTCTGGGACGAAGCGCACCAACATGAGGAGATGGATTAAATTAGACCTTTTAGTGTTCCTCTCATGGCAACTGACAGTTTGCGCTTTTTGCTCTCACTGAATCTAATCTCTCCCTCCTTGTGGGGCGGGAACACACTCTATGTCCAGTGGAAACTGCTGTGGAATATTCCCAATTGTCCCCATGACTCAGATGGGAGACAGGTTTGGATAAAGAGGACCAGAGAATGATAGAATCATTAGGGCTGGAAAAGACCTCTCATATCATCTAGTCCAACCATCAGCTCATCCCCACATGCCCACTGAACCGTGTCCCTCAGTGTCACATGTCCATTTTCTTGAACACCTCCAGGGACAGTGACCCCACCACTCACCACCAGCAGTCTGTGCCAGTGCATCACCACTCTTTCCGAGAAGACATCTTCCCCAGTAACAAATGAACCTCCCCTGATCAGACAGCCTCAGAGAGGGTTTGGAAAGAGTTTCATCTCAGCACTGTGCACATACTAGAACTCATGTACACTGGTTACGCCAATGTAGCACAAAGTGACAGAAAGCCTTCCAAACCACAAGAAAATCTGGCTTCCAGAAACTACTGCAAAGTATTTGCCATTCTTCAGGAATTCCTGAATAAGTCAACAGTAAAGCAAGGGATGCAAAAACTACTCTGTCTACAGTGTACAAATGAAAAAGCCATCTAGCTGTGAAATTTATTAAGAGATTAAAACACTTCTTGATCTCAGCTGCGCCATCAGCTCCTGGTTGGCACTGGTGCACTCAGCAAAGCGGACGGCAGTGTGTTGCAGGCTCCCTCGCAGGGAGCACTGACTCCAGCACTAGTTCTGTACGTTTCCACTTCCACATCTTTGCGTGCAGTATGCCTATTATTTATCTGCTTGAATGCCATCCCTTGGCATAACAAAACACATTTGTTTCACAGAAATCCAAGTGCTCCTCCCCATCTGCGGGCTGGCTGTGCTGCTCTGCCGAAGAGTGCCTCTGAAGCTTCAGGAGGTTACCCAAACAATATGACACCAAAGCTGAACACAAGTTAGCTATTCAGAGTCTTTTCCTGGGAGGAGAGAAGGGAAGGAGGAGCCAGAAAAAGTGAAGTCTCGCCTCATTTTTGGCAAATTATTAATTAATTCATTTCAAATTTGAACGAAGTCAGCATCATTGCAGTGATTTGGGAGTTGCACATCAGCAAACTACATAAAAATAATAAAGAAAGAAAGAAGTCTTAGGGGTGCTTTGAGAGTTGGGTCGTGTTGGACCTTTTTAGTCCAGATCATTTCAGTGGTTCTGCAAAACCAAAAAATGGCAAAAGGGTTGGGGTTACCATCTGCAGAGAGGGGCAGAATGAAGGGGACAGAGCTGGAACTTCTGAGCCAGATTTACTGTCAGAAAGGAGACTGCTGCTAGAGACAGGTTTGCAGCAAAATGCTGCACTTGATACACAGAGTAGAACTCATGAAAAGTTTAATTGAACACAGAAGCTTTCAAATTCTGAGTTGAAACTTTCATGAGATAGAGGTGCAGAGGCTGCATGGGACCAGGAAGCTTCACACCTATTGGTAAAGATCTGCCATTTCCAAAAAACTGGAGTTTATAGCCAACTTTGTGCATCTCACATAAATATTCACTGATCTGCTGACAAATGTGAATGTGCCCTCTGGCATCAGAGACTAGTGAAATTTTCCAAGTGATTCATCACAGCAAATAAAATCTCATGTAGGTGTTAAACAATTATTTGCCATTTAAACCTACTTAGTCTTGACTTAAAGACAATGCTTAAGATGAATTTTGTTGCTGAACTCCAGCTCCAGTCTATACTGACATACTGACATAAGTAGCAGGTTTGGTGCTGTGTCTACTATTTGTCCTTCAAGATTTTCAGCTGAAGTTAACCTGCCTGAACACCTGAAATTCTTTCTGAAATTCTACCTGAGATACTGCTGAGGCAAGTAACAGGACACAGGGAAAAGAAAAAATAAGGTTGGCTGCAGAATTAACTGAGATGTGGTGGGTGGGAGGAAGACGGAAAACACACTCAGCACAGTGTCCAAGCTGCACTCCTGAAGAAGCATGCCTTACATCTCAATGCCAGCAGGTGAAGGAACAGGGAAGAGGAAAGTAGAGGTCAGTGAGGGTGTTACAAGCAGCCAGCAGGATGGGATATAGGACTGCCATTCTGCCTGCTGCTATGGGGATGAGAAGGCTGAGAAGTGCTTCAAACCATGCAAATGCGACAAAAAAAGCCAGCCCAATTCTAGCACTTCTCTTACGTTTCTTCTTACTATTCATGAAGAAATGAATTGCTACAGAATTGCACACAACCAGGCGGAGGGTTCAAGGAGGATATGGGCTTCTTCCTGGGAAAAGAAAGAAAAAGAAATATCTGCTGGCAACAGCCAGGTACCTCATTGTAGCACCTGCAGCGGTCAGCCTGATCTTTCACTGAAGAGAAAATATTCAATGTAGTTTCCAATGCTGCAGAAAAAAAGAAACCCAGCAAACAAACAGCAGCTACAAAAACCACAGACAATATCACAACTAAAGAAAGGCTTAGAAATGGATCTCAGACTGATCTGTGTCAACATTCAGATAGTGTTTTAATCATCCTGGACAGCTTCCTCCCAGCATCCTGAATTTCATAAGTCAGAGCCAGTTTTAATTAGAACAGCCTCCCAGCACCCCCTCTGCATATAGCTGTGACTTCAGCTATAACACAGAATAGAAGCACTCACCTCACCCAGCGGAGGCACAGATAAAAGACATGTTGTCTGAAAATCTTCATTTTCCTCATTTCTCTTGTTGTTGTTTCAGGTGTTTTTTTTTCATTAGAGACTCTACTACTGCTGATACCCCTAAGGCAAAGCTTACGTGAGTGGCTCTGAGCTTGCACCTCCTATGCAGTCAGAAAAGTGCTGTTCTGAAATAGCGCTAGCAGCAGAAACCATTCACGAACTGGGCAGCCAACTTCTAGGCACTGCTACACATCAGTCTCCTTTAAAAGAACTAACTGGAAAACTCCTCAGTCTTATGTCTTAGTTCTAAAGGATCATAGTGGCAGAGGGTTTCTGAACAGGAGGGTTACCAGGTCACAATGCCCACAGCATTTCAATCCTCCTGAGGAGCTGGCCTCAGTCCACTGCCAGCCCCCCACCACTCACCAGTGCTGGCTGAATCTTTCTGGAGACCAAATAGTGGGTGTGAGCGCGATGAAGTGGTGGGTGGTGCATTTCAACAGCTGCAACAGCAACAGTGGGGCACCTCCACTGGCATGTAGATTTGTATGAGTGCAATATGTAGGCATTTGTTTATCACTGGTAAAAATGCACAGCTCATGGTGGTGGCTTTGTTGAAAAAGAGCAGTTTGTAGCTGAGAACTTGCTCTGCCAACTAGTGCTACAATGCTCTTTGTAGTAATTTCCATGGAAATAAATAGGAAGCATTACTTTCAGAGCAGCCTATGTAAATATTTTGTTACAACCAAAAATACCATCAGATTCCTAAAGCAGTTTATGAGACACAACCAAATCATTAATTCCTCTCCTGCCATGCCATTTGCCTGTAGTTGCCCTATTAACCCCATTGGAAGTGGCAATGGACCATACTGTACAAAAGCTGTGTTTTTCCTTTCCCCTTCAGTAATGCACACTTGCTCACAGCACACTTTCTGACCTGCCAGAGCTTGACTTCACCCCTGCTGTAGAATCTGCAAGGAGTATTTGCACGTAACAGGCAAATGAACCAAGCAAGGTCACAAAGCCCAGAATGGATTAGAAATAAATACCGTGGGTCAGCGCCTCAGGGGGCTGTTGAAATCAGGAGTGCTTCATCTGCTTATACCAACAGAAGATTTGTGGCAGAAATACTGAATTTAATGCAGAAATATTTCTATTCAGTCTTGAATCTGCATTTCAGCCACCCCATACCAGACAAATGTGTCATTTTAAAATATAACACATCACAAAACTCTGTCTCTGCCCTATTGCTCCTCTTGCCGCTGTAACTGCCAGCATAATATTATTTGCTTGAAAGAAGTTACTCCCAGTATACGCCATGGAAGAAAGAGGAAAATCCTTCCAAATGGTTTATTCAGAAATGAAAAATTGGGGATCGGCAGCTTTTATATCCAAGACTCGCACCTAGTGTACAGAAAGATGAATGTATGGATGGATTTAATCTAGACCATTACTAGAAATCTCCTGTGACCTGAATTCTTATCAGTGTAACTCTGCAGATCCTCCTGCGAATGGAGGGAGAGCTGGACAAGCCAGGAACGTGAGCCAAAGGGTTAGGAAACTGGCACCCTTTATTTTTTCCTCTTTTGCCATTCAGAAGTTTCTGTTTGTTTGTTTGTTGGCATGTTTTTGAAAGGGATCAATTCTCTAATACGATTGAGTTATGCACATCTCATTTACTGGAAGAAAACATGAGAAGAGCAGCTTACTGGAAGGGAAACTTATAAGAAAGGCTAAATTGGATCTCAAATAGCTCCTATAACACAGCTATTCTTTATTTGGTTTTGACATTTTTTCACTTGTCTCTGGAAAAGTACATTACTCGGGAGGAACTGCTGATGAATTTCTGACAGTATGCCTGGGGTTTTTGTTTCTTTTTAAAAAGGCACCTTGTAGCACAGTTTCCAAACTTTGCATCAAAATCACACCATCGCCAAAATATTCCAGGAACCATGTGCAGAATTAGCCTTCCTTCATGTACAATTCAAAATGTTCTTTGGATGTCAATACATAATAGCTCAACAAAGGTGGCTTTGTTAGCAGAGTTTTTGAGAATAAAATAAAAAGAGGCCTCAAAAAAATGGTAGAAACTCTGGAAGCACAGTCAGCAAGGGCTAAAGTCTGATACAGGCCCATTCCAAGCATTTTTGAGGCATTTTGTAAACCATATGTAGTCTTAGACGCTCTGCCAAGCCTCGCCTCCTTTTTCAGGGTTTTAGGACCGTCAAGATCACAATGGCTCTGATCAAAATCAGGGAAATTTTTTTCAAACATTCTGTCAAACAATCTGCCTTCAGGACATTTCTCAACATCTGAAAGTCCAGAGAGTGCATGGTCACCCAGTGCTGCTCCATATGGATCACAACACAGAGAGGTGGGCAGCAAACACCAGGTTAACTGGGATCAACACTCACAGACCGTACTTCCCACGGTTTGTAACAAAGCAGGTTTTGACTTGAGGTCCAAAGTCACAATTTCTTCACCAAAAGGGACTGTGTGTTTCTAGCCAAGGAAGAATGGAGCACTATCCATTATGAACATGCCAGTAAGCTCTAAAAGGGAGAGAAACAACTGAGATCCACAGGCACAGCAGTGAGCTCAGGCAAAGCCTGCAGCGATTTCTTTCATACAGCACATTGACAGCACACCAAGTTTCATAATTCTCGTGGAATTACGACTCATAGAGATGCTGCAAAATAAGTTCTGGCAAGAATGGGTGAGAGTGACCCACACACCATCCTCAGGTGCTGTAACCCCAACCCACTCAGGGTTAAACAAGACATAGATTACATATCTTTCCAAGGGTAATCATTTTAGTGCTCTTCACTTACTTCACACTGATGCTGAGGTTATAATGCAAACAGCTGCTATGAGTTCTCATGGATTCGCAACTTACCTTCTCCTGCAGTAACATCATCATCTGCCAACGTACCTGAAAGTAACACAGACTCGTGTCAAATTTCACTAACAGGATCACAGCAGGTGTCACTTTGTTTTGGAATTACAATCGTGAACATTTTGCTAATCAGATTTGCAAAGCATAAGCACTCCCAAGGCTTAACAACAAGAGAAGGTAAATGCTTGTTGGGAATATCTGCATGGCTGTGTGCTGGCCTGCATGCTGTGCTCACACGTGCCACTTGTGCCTCTCCTTGTGTGTACTTACTGAGACACACCTCAGAAAAACAAGCTAAACCAACAGCCAGTGCTGCTGATGCGTTTCTGAAAGGTTTTTTCCTGCAAAAGCTGACCATTTTGAAAAGCTACAAAAATGCTTTGGCACAAAATGCATGAAGGGCATACATTAACATACATTGATTACTTGTATTTTTAAATGTAAATGTGGTCTGCTCAGCATCTAATAGAATTATGCCTGCGGCAGTTAGCAAACATCATCGACATTCAATCCTCTGTTCTGAAGAATTGCAAAACATCTGATTCAACAGTTTTTATCGGGATAATATTCATAGTGCAAAGAGGAAACAATTCAGAAATGCAGCTGGTTCTGTTTCTCAGGTTTGGGGGTTTTGATCACAATTTCCCCAGGTGCTGACGCCTTTATGAGAGGTGATGGAGTTCCCTGTGGCACAGTGCTGGTAACCTGTACACAGGTGCATGTCTCCTGCTCTATCCTCTCCCAAAGATGGCAAGTCAGGCTTGGCTCAGCAGCACTCCCACCCCAGCAGCCAGTCCTCCTCTGAGGGAAAGTCACAGGCCAGAACACATCTTCTAAAAGCATCTGAAGTGAACTGCCTGTCGTACATATGGCACAAGCTGGGAAGCCCACTCTTAATATCAAGGGTATTCATACAGTCAACAGATTATCTCTTCAATCAGGTCTGGTCAGTAGCAATCAAGCAGTTAATAGCTCTACAGCAAACAGGGGGATGCCCGGAGTCTCACACACACAATAAATCCATAACTTTTTCCTTGTCCTGATAGGAGACTCACATTTTCACCCCCGCTGATAAATGCACAAAGACAACTCTCTATCAATCAATAACCCAGCGCTCTTCTGACATTCTTTTGAATCCATATAGTTAATTAATATATATATGCACATCCAAAATCTATACAGATTAAGCCTGGATTACAAAATCCTTTCCTTGCCCAGTTTGAATAACCGTGCAAAAATGAAGATCCAGCCAAAGAAAGCTGCTCTAATTCTTGTGTATTTATTTGGCTTGAAACCTGCCATCAAAGAAAAGACTGTCGTTATTTGAGCAGCAGACCTTAAGTGATAGATTTCCAAGTGCATCATTTTTAGAGACATTAGAGCTATCAGGCCTATATGGTTGCTAAGATACCATGAATCATGAAGGAAAATATAAGATAATGGTAGGCAGACACTGCGATGTTTATCAGAGTATTTTCTCTGCATCTTTCTTAATAGCATCATGATTAGGATCATTTTCAATAGTTCCCATCTATTTTCCAGCTAGGTGAAAGAATGCAACTGCATTAAGTTGGCAAACATTGTTTATAATTCACATTTTGCCAAGTGTAAATGAATCTGTGGAAGTCAGGATTTGTAATTGCTACAGCAGAACTTATTAATAAGTAAGAAGGTGTGGCTGCGCACAGGTTTCTCTCCTGGCTATTAAATACTATCTCCAGACTTGGAATGAAATCATCCTTCAGTGATTTCAAGTATATTCTGCGATAACACAGACTGTGCTTTCAAAGAGTTTTTAAATTAAATTTGTAGCTGAGGTAATTGCTGCTGCAAAATTATGCAATCGAAGTAAAGCTTTATGCTGCAGCTTTCTTGATATTATAATTTAACTGCCTCTTTTCTAAATCATAAAAGTGTGAGATATCAGATTAGTGCAAAGCATTAGGTTATTACTGAATTATTTCATCTTTTATCTCTGAGACTAGACAGTGATAAGCAAAGGGACAAATCCACAGCCCACTGTGCAGTGCTGCATGCCAGCTCCCAAAAAACTCTTCTCTGGGTTCACTCTTCTACTGCTTTAAAAAGGTAACATCCAAGATTGGGAAAGCATTGTTCATCAGCCCCCTTCTCTGACTTGCATCCCCATAACTGAGCCTATGTGTAAAGGTTTAATTCCTGCACAGGAATACTCAAACATATTGTTAATAGAAAACTTAATGGAAAAGCTGTTCTGAAAGTAACATTTTGTATTTTATGATGTTGGTCCAGTACATCAGACGCAGATGTTGGTGGTATGGCAGCAGAGGCTGAACCTTCCCACCAATATCCCATTACATTCGGTTGCCGTGTGACAGATGGCAGCAGAGGGGCAGTCTGGTGGAATGGCATCTGACACAGAAGTGCAGACGAAGCAAAGGGGTGGAACTGAATTGCTCCATGTGGAAAAAATGGCACCCATCAACATTCATCAGTGCTTGCTGAACGTTTCTGGAGACCAACACAGTGGGTCTGAGGGTGTGAGCACAGCGAGGCAGTGGGTGGTGCATGTTAGCAGTAGCAAGTGCAACGTTAGAGACAAGTCATGTTCTGGATGGCCACGCACATCTGTCACACCATGAAATGAACAGCATCTCGATCAGCACGTCCATGCAAATTATCAGATCATGACCAACTATGTACAGAGCAGAACATTATCTTCAGCGTGTTGGAAACTACTGTAGCAGTGTTGAAATATCGCAAAGTTTTTGCCTCATGAGGCCCACGAATGCTCATGCAGAAACAGAAAGAACATTGTCTGCAAGTTTGGCAGGACCTATTGAACAAATACAAGGCTGAAGGCAACAGTTTTCTGGATCATATCATTACTGGTGCCAAGACATGATGTTACCACTACAAGCCAAAGTAGCAGCAGTTCTTGGAGTAGCAACACATGAATTCTCCCATCAACTAAAAAATTCAAGACACAGCCCTCAGCTGGTAAAGTGATGTGCATTGTTGGGATAGAAAAGGGGTGATCCTTCCGGATTTCCTGGAACTCAGACAAATCATCAACTCTGATGCTAACTAAGCTGAAGGCTCACATTTCCAGCATCAAAACAGAGAAGAAGACAACCCCTCCCTTGCAACAAGGTAACGTCAGGTCCCATACCAGTTTGAACGCCATGGAACACATTGCCAGTCTTGGCTGGAGCGTCCTACCACAGCCGCTGTATAGTCCACATAAGGCACCTTCTGACTTCTATCTGTTCAGGCTGCTGGACAACACCTTCCTAGCAATTATACCATCATAGCAGCCATGAAACAGTGGGTCTCCTCAAGTGGTGCAGATTTTCAGAAGCATGACATGCAGGACCTTATTCACTGCTAATGAAAAAGGGTAGCTACATTGTGGTCTCTATCAAAAAGCAGAATTTTGCAGATGAGAATTTGCTCTTTCTGATAGTGTTACTGTGCTCTTCATAGCTGGTGCAGTTTCTATAGAAATAAATAGGAGGTATTACTTTCAGAGCAATCTACGCAGGTGTTTCTTATTTGCCATTCAGGAAACCCACAAGCTTGTGGACCATGTGTCTCATCCATAATAACCCTGGAAAGATTCTTGGAGGCAACGTCACTGGATTACAAAATACCAATTAGAAATTTCCTGGCTAGAATGCAATATTTCTCTAACTGAAATCCTTTTTGACTGAATTCACTTTGAAACGCAGCCATCATAACATCATTCTGAATTGCATAGACTCTCGTCTGTTTAATAAATAAAGTAGAATGGAAAGACTGGTGTTTTTGCCACAAAGCACATTTCTGGGTGCAATATCACCCAGCCAGAAGTCCTACCTTTTGTGCAGACATGGTCATCTCGTCTATGTTCAGAAGAGGTCTTACACTGGAAAGGAAGAATATTAGTTACACTACTGTAGCATTATCCTACTACTATATTATATCCTCCTGGTATTAGAAGGGCAGCACATAATGAAAGGTAAAGACTAGACAGTTGGACTTTCCTCGTCCAAGCTTTCAAATAAAGCACCTTTGCATTTTGCACTAGAGAGACATTTTAATGTATCTTGCTTTCTGAAAACAAAACAGGATAGGGTGAGGGTGAGGGAGGAAGCTGGTGGCACACAGGAGGAGGCACCAAGCAGCCTAAGAGAGCAGTGACAATATGCTACAGCAATTAACCTGCAGCTGCTATGAGATTTAAACCGAATCTCCCACAAAACATAAGCAGTGACACCTTCCTGGAAGCGTCCTCTCTGTGTCCAGTACATATTTGTTGTTTAGCTTGCAGTTCTGTCTCAAAGCAAGGTTTCCCTGTCCTTGAAAAGAACTACGAACACTGCCTCATAATCCAACACTTTCAAGAACACTGGACATTTTTCCATTCACTTAACAAACATCAGTAGGAAGGCCTGAGAGAGGCTGAGAGAGGTCTGCTCACAGCAAAGAAAAGGGGCAGTAATATTTCTAATTTTCCTGGCACCAGCAAAGGTAAATACACATTGATGCTTGGAGACTGTAACTTTTTAAAAGTAAATGAGCCTTGAAGATTATCTGTCAGCTAAAACGTACCCAAGGGCTTGCATTGCAATGCTTCTTTTTTAAAGAATGTTTGTTTTAACATTATGGTTGCAACCAGTGGAAGAAAAATGTAGAGCCGTCATAAAAGATGTGAGTAGATACCCAGTTGTTAGAGCTGGTTTAGGAACAATCATAGGAGTGATGGACTGTGCGACCCAGGAGAGGTTCCTTCCAACCCTAATGATTCTCAGAATTGATTTTCTTTTGCAACTCACTTTCAGTTAGCTTTAGAAAGAAAAAAAAATAAAAAGGGTGAGATCAATGCTAGCTTCAATGACACAGTCATTCCAGCTCCCGCAGCATTTTCTTACCATGGCAATCTCTTTATTTTCTTTCTTATATGAAGACCATTCTCTACTTCTCTCTTCCTGGTTGTGCATAAATATAAGGGGTTGAACTCCTAGTTTACTGACTCCAGGGCTGAATGCAACATTAATACAAATTAGTTAGCTCTCAGAGAGTGAGTATATAGTTATTCTGCCCACAGTTCAGGAGAAGTGATCTCTGCATTCGTTATCATGCTTGCTAAACAGACTCCTCTAGCCAGAAGCTAGAACAGAACTGCATATGTAAGAAATGTTTCTCTCTCTAGAAAGATGCATTCTGTAAATTTAACATTGCAGGGTATTAACACAGTTCTGTACAAACTGGTATTTCCACTGCTAAAATGCTGGCGGACCATTAAAGGCAAATTTCCTTGCTTTCAGTCTGCAGTGTAAGGGGAGGAAAGAACTATTTATTCCCCTCTTTCCCTATTCCTTTTTCAGCCCACTGACATAACAGTCTGGATCTAAACAAGAAATCTAACCCTAAACTGTCTCTCCTATACTTTTCTAATGATTTGCTGTTTCCACTGGGCTTTTCTATATCTTCTGCTTCTTCCTTTCATATCCCATACCACAGCTGACAAAAGGGAGTAAGAATCATCAGGCTGCACCTATGATAGAACGCTGTTTCATGCTGCAAATCAAGCCATGGCCTGAGCTTGCTGCTGCTGCTATGCTCACTATTCACTGACGGTCACCACACTCTGGAACACCTCCTACCACCTACCATCCAAATCCCCATGGCAGGAAGACACACTGACCTAACAGACACTCTGCAGATCTCTGCATCAGACTGCAGTGTGTTACCACCTACCACACTCTCGGTTGTCTGCCTTAGATGAACAAATTACCTCACCAGTGCCCACCATGCCAGAGTTTTGCTCTACATGCTTTCCTGACTTGTAGTTTCACTCACTGTCTGAAACCACCTCCTTGCTTCATCTATGGCAAGTGGAAGAGTATTCTTCTGCATACTGCCTATGTATGGATGCCTGTAAGGACTGTCGTGCTGTGGCTGGAGAACAATAATGAATAACTGCTGCCTGCAGATCAGGAAAAGAATTAAACTGAGATGATGACTCCGAGGTCCATCTCCATCTCCTGTGTCACGAAGGTTTGATGGTTGGACTAGATGACCTTAAAGGTCATTTCCAAACTTAATGATTCTACAACCATAAGGTTTAGGATGAGATGTAGAGATTAGCATCTGAGAAGACTACAGTGATTAGAGAATGGTTTATGGGAACTCCAAGATTTCCCTCTCAAGACAGCTGCTCAAAAATGAATTGCAGAGCAGGCAGCCCAGGCATTTCTGGAGGAATCAAGCTGGTTGATGGCATAAAGAAATCTCCTTAAAAGTAAAAGTTAAAAAAGAAAGCACCAATGGCTTTAGCATGCCACATGGTGCATTCTCCAAACTGCCTTCCAGAGTCCCTGATACTAAGTACAGAACAGCCTTCATTTTAGATGAGAAGGAACAGCAATACAGAAAAGAAGAACTAGAAGGATGTAATGCCAAAATGCCCAACGAGACTGAATGTTGAATACTGAAATCAATGTGTGACAACACTTAGGCCTTTCCACAGGGCTGCCTATTGTTCATGGGCTATGAGGGCTTGGGCCAGACAGGATATCCAGAAGCAACGGGACCTGAAGCAGGCACAGGATGTGAACTTGCCACCCCAGGCTTCCTCATGGCCTGGCACAGCATGATCTCACCTGACAGCAGGCAGCTGCTGCTAGAGCCACATGTTATGCAGCAAAGCAGCACTTAAAAGTTGAAGACAGCCAGGACCCCACATAGAAGCAGCAGCCATTACAAAATGAAAGTACAAATGCACCCACCTTGACAGATTCATCCCCAGGAATGGGGTCCTGCTGCTTCACTTGCCCTACATACTTTGTACCTTTTTGCAGGCAACACTTCAGCTTGAAAACCTGAGCAGACCTCTCCCTGGCAAGCCCTGTGGAGATCTCCCTCAGGCAGTGTTAGCAGCAGTCAGTCTCTTCTAGTACTCACCATATATCTTGTTTTTGTATTTCTCACTTTAACAGCTCTCCATCCCAATGAGAGTGCAGAAGCAAGCTATGCAGACAGAAGCTGGCATGTCTACACAGCAGCAAGGCTGGCTATCATTTTGTAACAGGTTTATATAGCTGTCTATACTGAATGTTAGTATTAAGCTTTGCCTTCTCACATGTTAAGACATCTCCTCAGCTCCACAGGACGAATCCTAGCTCTGATCCAGCCTCTGCTTTGCAGCAGCAGTGCTCACACCCTTCTTGCGTGGCTTGGACAGCCTAATGGCAAGGGCAGCCCAGGAGCTAGGGAGCCTTTGTGTTGTTATTCTTCACTTTTTAAGTGCTGATGCTAAGAATTAGCACGAAAAAAGTTGTCTGGTCTAATTCATCTATCCCCATAGGGCGGCTCATGCATTCCTGCTCTTACACTACACTATCTTATATTTTTTGTGACAGAATTTCATTTACTTTATGCCAATACAATCCAATTAGTTTATATTGCAGCACTAAGATCCAGACTTGCAGTAGTTTGCTTTTTACATGCCATCTTTCCCTTCAGCCTTTCAGAACTGTCATCAATAAACATTTTAACCAGTCCAAATGTACCTGCTCCTTGTAAGGCAGTGACAAAATCTAGGTTTTAGGCATAGTCCAACATCCAAGAAAAGTCTGTGGCTTTTCTAAGTTTTCTTTCTACTGTGCTTCTTTCCTTATCACACACATCTTCCACACCTTTTTGACTTTGTTTTGTTTTTTTGCTTGTTTCTGTTAAATCCCAGATCTCTCTTCTTCTTCTGTTCTCCCATACCTCCTGCCACTCTTTGGATTTTCCTCAACTCATCAGGAGGAAATACGTGGATACAATTTAAGGAGTTGACCTGCTCTGTCCTTAATTTGTTTTGTCCCAGTCTTACTGTTCATATTGCTTTTGTTGTTTTCCAGACAGACAATTTCTGGTTGATAAATGCATGGGAGAAGCACGTATCCAAAAAGCACTGCCATTTCATATAGCCCAGTGTTTGGCATGGACTCACAGAAATGTTGGTGGCCTTGCCCGGGAATTAATACCTGCAAGTCCCAGAGATGGTTGGCTTCAGTTTCCTTCGTTCACAAAACCCACTGCTTTACTGACACTGAAGTCCGATACAGTGGTGTGTAAATAGCAGATAACAGCCTGTACATTGTTAGCACACTTTTTGTGGATCTATTATGAAATTCATTTATTCCACTATCCCCTATGATCCCTCTTTTCATTTTATTGTTATATTCTAACCTTCACCTCGACTGCTCCATTGCTTTTCATTCTTCTGAAGAAAGTATATTTATTTCAATACTTGATCTTGAGCATTTTAGCTAACAATACCTATAACATCCCTTCAAATACCTGTTCCTGCTCCAGCAGAATTTCTTCTATTGCTTCAGGCAGTGTGATATCATTTCATTTTCCCTTGAAGAAGTGCAAGGTATTTTGGACAGTTTTCTGGGTTATATCAGAAGGTGCTGTAGGTGGGCACATTGCTCCTCAGCAGCTGGCCACGTAAGCTCTAGGGAAACACTGCATGCACAGTCCCCTCTTTAGCTGCAGATCACATCTGGGATGAATCTCCAATAGTAGCGCTGCCGCCATGGAAAAAGTTGTGATTAAAACTGCTTAAATATGTGGACAATAATAGAGAAATAGGCAAAAGTGCTAAACTTTTCAACATTTTCAAAACCAAACTTTCTGGTACTGTTTTTTGAAAATCCTATTTCTCGAGGGGGGGAGGGGAGTGGAAGAGGTCTGAATTTTCTATAGAAACAAAAAATAGTAAGAAAAGAGTTATATGACATTTAAAATAAAATAAAATAAAAATGTTCATTTAAGGAGAAGCTGTAGTCCTGAACAAAATGAAAAGATACAAACATTCTGAATGGAGGCAAGCAAGTTAAGTATTTCTGCTTTCTTGTTACTAAGAAC